TCCCGTAATTTAGTAACTTATCAGAAGTTAACAACACCAATTTCATCTCTCAAACGAAGAAATTGGTCTGTTTTTATCGCCTTTGTCGGAACATCTGCCAGCTGCTTCTGAGTGCTACAGTGCAGAACTTCTAACACTCCTTTCTGCACTTGACTTCTGAGAAAGTGATACTTCGTCTCAATGTGATTGCTTCTTCCATGTAGCACTGGATTCTTTGCAAGATTAATTGCAGACTTATTATCAATCATCAGCTTCAGAGGTTCCTCAACTTCAACCTTCAGATCATGCAGCAGATTCAGAAGCCAAACTGCTTGACACGCAGCTACAGCACCTGCAATGTATTCAGCTTCACATGTTGACAAAGCCATAACCGGCTATTTCTTGGAACTCCAAGAAATTGGACCTCCCAGAAACTTGAACAAGTACCCAAAAGTACTTCTTCTGTCAACTCTATCTCCACACCAATCAGAATCAGAATAACTCAAGTTCTGATTTGATCTTTCCTCCAGAAGGAAATAGCACTCCATATTTCAGAGTTCCTTTTATATACCTCAGAATCCTGACAGCAGCTTGCAATTTGCTAGCTCAAATCTCTTCAGAAGCTCCAGTTCATACTTCTTCTGATGTAAGATGATTCCTTTCTCAGAGTATATAAATCCATTCCTAGAAAGAAACTCATTTTTCTAAGATCTGTTATCTCAAACGCATTCATCAGAACTTTCTTGAACTCAACTGTTTCTTGTTCAGAACTTCCTGTGAGTAATATGTCATCAACATACAAACAGGCCAGAATCATATTACCTTCTGAAGTATGCTGAACATAAACACCATACTCCATCTCACACTTCTGAAACCCTTTTTCCTTGAAAAACGAATCAATCTTCAAATTCCAAGCTCTGGGCGCTTGCTTCAGTCCATACAGAGCTTTATTTAACCTGTATATCATCCCTTCCTGATTCTTTTTCATAAATCTAGGAGGTTGTGACACATAAACTTCTTCTTGTAATGGACCGTTCAGAAATGCAGACTTCACATCCAGATGTATCAAAGGCCAATTTCTGTTTGCAACTAAAGCAATCACCAGTCTGATTGTTTCGTGTCTAGCTACAGGCGCAAACACCTCAAAGTAATCTAGTCCAGGTTTCTGAAGAAAACCTCTGGCCACTAGTCTCGCTTTGTGTTTGCCAACTGATCCATCTGGCTTTAGCTTCTGCTTGAAAACCCATCTGACGTTGATGGCTTTCTTGCCTTTTGGAAGTTCTGTCAGCTTCCAAGTCTTGTTTCTTTCAATAGCCTCAAGTTCTTCTTTCATGGCATTCATCCACACTTTCTTCTTGAGTGCTTCTTCAATACCCACTGGTTCAGAATCTACTAGCATGGCACACTGAACGATTTATCCTTCAGAATCTACTTCAGTATCATGCAACATGCTAAAATTTGCAAACCTACTTGGTATTCGTCTGATTCTCTGTGGCCTCTGATCTTGTTCTGAATTTTATCCAGAACTCGGAACTGTGCTGGTTTCTGGACTTTGTCCAGAATTATTTCCTTCAGAATTACCACCTTCAGAGTTACTTCTGGAAACTTGTTCTCCAGACCCCATGTCTTCAGAGTTTTCCCTTCCAGAAGTATAATCACCACCAGATTCTGGATCATCATCAGAATCTGGATCAGAATCAGATCCACTATCAGAATCTCCCTGAGATTCTGACTCATCTTCAGAGTCTTCATCTTCTGACTCTGACTCGTCTTCAGAACTTTCAGAAACTAACCCTGGTGTTGGCACTACACCAGAATCTGATTGAAGCTTGTTCCAATCCCATGTTTCTGACTCTTTCACAATGACGTCTCTGTTGATTTCAACTTTGTTGGTTTCTGGACAATAAAGCTTATAGGAACCTGTACTATGGTACCCCACCAGTAACATTGTTTTGCTTCTATCATCCAGTTTTCGTCTTCTAGCATCTGGAACGTGTTTGTAGCATACAGAGCCAAACACCTTCAGATGGCTAACACTTTGCTTGTCTCCAGTCCATTTTTCTAAAGGAACAGTTTCCTTCAGCTTATTTGTTGGACACCTATTCAGAACATATGCTGATGTGGAAACAACTTCTCCCCATAACATGTGAGGTAACTTCTTCTCTTTCAGCATACTTCTGGCCATATCAAGCAAAGTTCTGTTTCTTCTTTCAGCAAGATCGTTGTGCTAAGGAGTATATGGAGCAGTAACCTCATGTTCTATTCCATTCTCCTCACATAACTTCTGGAACTCTGGAGTTATACTCACCTCCACCATCTGTTCTCAGAATCTTCAGCTTCTGACCACTCTGCTTCTCAGCCTTCACCTTGAACTTATGGAACTCAGTAAACACTTCATGCTTGAACTTGATGAGTGTTACCCATGTCATTCTTGTGAACTCATCCATAAAAGACACAAAATATTTGTTTCCTCCAAGTGAAGATACTGGAAATGGTCCACACACATCAGAATGTACTACTCCCAGAGCATGCTTTGCTCTGGGGGCTACTTCTGATGTAAATGGCAATCTGGGTTGCTTGCCTTTCATGCATATCTCACATGACTTCTGAGGCTTCACAATCTTCGAAATGCCATGTACGAGCTTCTTAAAACTTAGATGCTCTAAGCTTCTATAGTTCAAGTGCCCCAACCTCTTGTGCCACAACTTACTGTCAGCTTTAGCGCCTTCTACACTAAGACACTCCGCTTCAGAAGTTTCTACATTCACCTTGAATGTTCTGTTGCTTCCCTGCTCAGACTTCATTATCAACTTCTTATTAGAATCATACAACATTAAGAGATTGTCCTTCATAACCACTGAGAAACCTTTCTCAATAAGCTGACCCACACTCATCAGATTGCTTTTAATTCCAGGAACATACCAAACGCCTTTGATCAGAATGTTTCTTCCATTCTTCACTCTGACTCTAACATTTCCCATACCTTCTGCATTAAGGTACTTATCATCAGCACATCTGATCTTTGTTCTCCTTCTGGAGTCAAAGTCTATCAGCCATTGTTTGTTCCCAGTCAAGTGGTTTGAACAGCCAGTGTCCATATACCACCAATCTCCTGAACAATTTCCATCAGAATCAGAAGCCATCAGTAGCACAGGTTTATCATCAGAGTCTTCTCTGGCTATATTTGCTTCTTCTGATTTCCTTCCTCTGTTTCTACAGTCTCTTGCAAAATGGCCAAACTGTTTACAACAGTAACATTGAACCTTCTTCTTGTCATACCTTTCCTTTCCCTTCTGATATTTCTTTTCATCAGAAGTTGAGGTTTCTGACTTCTGGAACTTATCACCATATCTATTCTGCTTCTGGTCCTTCTTGACAAAAGAAGCTTTCAGAGCTTGCTCCACTTCCCTCTCAGAAGTTCTTTCAGTCAGACGCAACTCTTGCGCTTCTAGACTGCTTTGTAACTCTTCTATTCTCATGGTTTCCAGATTTTTAGAATGTTCAATAGAAACAACAATGTAATCAAACTGAAGAGTAAGTGACCTCAGAATCTTTTCTATGATTACCTGTTCAGAAAGTGTTTCTCCATAAGCCTTCATCTCATTAGTGATCAGAATCATTCTGGAGATGTACTCAGAAACTTTCTCACTATTCTTCATGCTGAGATTTTCATATTGTTTTCGCAGGGACTGAAGCTTTACCTTCTTTACTGATACGTCACCACCATAACATCTGGTCAGTATATCACATGCCCCTTTCGACGTCGTCGAATCAACAATCTTCTCAAACACATTTTCATCCACACACTGATGGATAAAGAACAGAACTTTTTGATCCCTCTTCCTCGTAGCTCTTTCTTCTGATTTTTGTTCTTCAGTAGCACCTGCTGCAGCTGGAACATAACCTTCAGAAACAAGATCCAGAACATCCTGAGCACCAAACAGCACACGCATTTGTATCTTCCATCTGTTCCAGTTTTTGCCATAAAAAACTGGAAGTTTAGTGTTCAAACTACTGCCTCCATTCATCTTAAACCTTGCACAAAAAACTCAGATCTCAGATTTTCTCACTCAGTGTTTCCCAAACCCACAGAATCAGTGTGATTCTGTTTCAGATTTTTGTTCAAGATTCAAAAATCAAACACACAGCTCACTATCACTCGTGTTTCCTAGAGTTTCAGAACAAACCAAGAGCTCTAGATACCAATTTGTTAGTGCAAGGTGATGAAATTGAGGAAGAAGAGAGAAAAGGAATAAATGCTAAAAATTGCCACTAATGATTGAAGGAATTGATTGATATAAATGTAAACCTAGTACACCTATTTATACACAAATAAGAATGTCACATAGACCCTAATCAAAAATATTTACAAATGACAAATACTAAATTATCTTCTAATACATGCAACAATATTATTATCTATAGTAAATATTGCCATATGCATTTTTCTTAAATCACTTTCCAAGTGATCTTCTAGACTTCAATCCAAATTATCCATATGTATCAAAGAAACACTCAACAACATATTTATAGTTGCTCATTCACCACTTTTTTTTGTTTAACACTTTCCAAAGAGTGTTTTGGGAAGCTGCTAAATACATGTATACTTAATAAACAAAACTTTTTTTAAGGTAATAATGACTGCAAAACATGAATTACAAAATAAACATTATTTTTTTCATATGAAACATTTGTATTTCCATTTCTAAAATCTTATTTAGAATTTCTTCAAATAAAAAAATAAGGTATCGAATATCCTTTCATTTTCATGAAAAATTTAAAAGAGACATCCTGTAATTTTTGTCGGTATAACATACATATTTATGCATGGCCACAAACATTTTATAAATTTTAATATCTTGTTCACCACCACATAAATTTTCACTTTCAATCTCACCACACCTTACACCTAAGTTAAGGCATCTATATAATAAAAGAGTTATATATCAAAGTTCAATTCAAAACAAAGTAACAGTTTCATATAATCACTCTCACCTACCTCTAACAAGAAGAAAAAGAAGATGAAAAAAACACAAGTGGTGTTTATCCCTTCTCCTGGCGTTGGTCATTTAGTTTCCGCTCTCGAGTTCGCGAAGCTTCTAATCAACCGTGATAACCGTCTCCATATAACCGTCTTGATTATGAAATTTCCACATGTCACAGAAACTGAGGCCTACACTAAATCCCTTCCACTGTTAAATTCTCTCAATCTCATCAACCTTCCAGAATGCTCTCTTCCTCCGAATTCCAACCCAGGTTCCTCCATTACCGCTGTCCTTGAAGCTCAGAAACCAAACGTTAGACAAGCCGTATCTAACCTCACTACCGGAGAAGGACTCCATGGACATCTTGCTGCCTTCGTTGTTGATATGTTCTGCACCTCCATGACTGACGTTGCTAAAGAGTTTTCTGTCCCTACCCTCGTCTTCTTCACTTCTAGTGTTGCTTTCCTTGGTTTGATTTTTCATCTTCATACTATCCATGAACGAGACAACGTAGATTCAACTCAGTTGCTGCAGCTCACTGAGTTGGCTGTCCCAAGTTTTGCTAACCCGGTTCCAACAAAATCGTTGCCTAGTGTTGTGCTACTCAAAGAATGGGAATTGTTTTTGTTGGCCACCTGGAAGGGGATAAAAAATGCTGATGGTATTATAGTAAATTCATTTGAAGAGCTCGAATCCTATGCGGTTCACTCGTTTGCATCTCATTCTGATTTTGCTGGTATAACACTATATCCAATAGGGCCCATACTAAATTTGGAGCAGGAAACGAAACCTGTTGATGAATCTAATGACATCATCATCCAGTGGCTTAATGACCAACCTCCTTCTTCGGTAGTTTTTCTCTGTTTTGGGAGTAAGGGTTCTTTTGATGAAGATCAGATTAAAGAGATAGCCTTGGCTATTGAGAATAGCGGGGCCCGCTTTATATGGTCTCTTCGAAAACCTCCATCAAAAGGGACAATGGATGTGTTCTCTGATCACTCTCCTTTTGATTTAGGTTTGATCTTACCAAAAGGTTTTTTAGATCGGACGGCAGAGATTGGAATGGTCGTTGGATGGGTTCCACAAGTTCAAATACTAGCCCATCCAGCCATAGGAGGATTTGTCTCACATTGTGGCTGGAATTCAATACTCGAGAGCATTTACTTTGGTGTGCCTATTGCCACATGGCCTATTTATGCGGAACAACAGCCTAATGCTTTTGAGTTGGTGTGTGAGTTGAAGATGGGTGTGGAGATTACATTGGATTATAATGTGGAGTTTTATGGTGAGCCTAACTATCTTGTAACTGCAGGCAAGATTGAGAAAGGAATAAAGAGTGTGTTGGATAAGGATGGAGATGTAAGAAAGAAAGTGAAAGAGATGAGTGAAAAGAGTAGGAAGACTTTGTTAGAGGGAGGTTGTTCTTGTACTTATTTAGAACGTTTGATTGATTATATTGTGAATCAAACATCAAATTGAAGTATCCTAATACACATTAACAAAAAGGCTATAGGAAATTGGTTTGAGTTTCAACATTTATAATGTTTTGTTTCTGCATTTTGATAAAAGTAAGATACAATTATATAATTGTGAGGAGCATAGCCACTTTGTAAATGAATATTGGTATAAGAAAGAAGGAGACAAGAAAATTCTGAAAGATAATGAAGAGGCCAACATAGCACACGATAATGGTGTATCGGATGGAGTGCTACTCATGACCACCACCCGTGAAGGAAATATATTGTGTGAACTATGGTATCTAGATTCAAGATGCTCCAATCACATGACGAGACATAAGGAATGGTTTATTAACTTGGATGCAAGCAAGAAGACTAGTGGCAAGCTGGCTAATAACACTTATCATGCAACATAAGGTATTAGTGATATAATGATTGTTATGTTATTTTGCACGTACTAGTATACACAGTCAAACAGTAGCAAGGGATGTAAAGTAAGAGTATTGATTCCACTAAGATTTTAATAAGTTAAATTGATTCTCATAATAAAATCTTGTGAATAACAATAAATGATAATAGAAGAGTTAAATCAATAGTGAAACACATATTAGGAAATGATCCATTTAAATAAGATCATACCTTGTGTGTGTCTGATGAGATTTATCGTGACATATGGGGAAAAAGGGATCTAATGTTGTATGTCAATAACATCAAAGCATATGCATTAAGTCAAGAGAACAACTCTCGAGGTCTCACAATAACGTTAAATAGGTGTCCTACAAAGAAGCTTGAGAAGGTTACTTCAGAAGAAGCATGGTCTGAATTTAAATCAAATCTGAACCATTTGAAAGTTTTTCGGTTATGTGGCGTATCAATATGTTTCGGGTCAACTTAGAAAGATGTTGGATGACAAAGGTGAGGTGATGTTACTTGTTGGTTATTATCCTATTGGAGGTTATAAGTTGAGTGATGTTACAAACAAGAAGATCGTGATCAATCGGGATGTCGTGGTTGACGAACTGAAGCGTGTCGAGCTGTCTGGAACTGGTGTAACAGGTGCTGTAACCGGTTATCAGAATCATGTAACTGGTTACGGGCACATATTTTTTAATTCTCAGGCTGCTGGAAGTACAAAACAATATCCTGTCGAAGCCAGAACTGGGGAAAATGTTATACGACCAACTAGGAAAACAGGTTTGCCTCAAAAACTCCAAGATTGTGAAGTATTTCGAGATAACGAGATCAATGGTGATGGTGGTTTCGTTCACTTTACGTTTATGGTCGAATCTGAGCCCGTTAACACGGGAGAGGCAATGAGTGATCCAAAGTGGGTGTGTTCAATGAAAGAAGAGCTGGAATCGATTTAAAAAAATAGTACTTAGGAGTTGGTCGATTTACCGAAAGGTAAGAAGTCAATTGGTGTGAGATGGATCTATAAAGTGAAGGTAAATCTCAAAAGTGAGATGATCAAGCATAGAGCTTGATTAGTTGCAAATGTGTTTTTGCAAAAGGGAATGTATATACTTCGATGAGGTGTTTGCACCAATTGCTAGACTTAAAACCATACGACTGGTTGTTGGTATTGCGAGTAACAACAATTGGTCAATCTATCAAATGGATGTAAAATCCGTATTTTTGAACGGTCCGTTTGAAGAAGAGGTGTATGTAGAACAACCCCCTGATTTTTTTGTGAAGAATCAAGAGGATAGGTTCTACAAGTTTATAAAAACACTATATGATTTGAAGCAAGCTCCAGGAGCTTAGAACAAACGGATATATGGTTTTCTAGTTGATATTGGCTTTAAAAATGTGTGTTCGAGCATGGTGTTTATGCGAAGTCAGATGCAATTGAAGGTGAGATCATACTTGTCTATATGCAGATGATTTATTGATCACGGACAACAATGAGAAGAGTATTTTTAAGTTCAATAGTGAGCTTATGAAAGAATTCGAGATGAGTGACCATAGGATTATGACATACTTCCTTGGCATAGAGTTCCATCAGTCAAAAACAGGATTGCTCATGCATCAAAGAAGATATGCTCTTGAAATATAGAAAAGGTGTGATATGGAGCATTGCAATGCTTCCATGACATCGGATGAAGCAAGGTTGCAACTGTCTAAAAGTGAGGATGAGCATAATATAGATCTTACTCAATATAGGAGATTGATTGGTTCTTTGCGTTACTTGAGCAATATGCAGCCTGATTTAGAGTTTAGTGTCAGTATTGCTAGTAGATTCATGGAGAGACCGAATGTATCTCACTTGGAAGAAGTCAAGAGAATCCTAAGATACGTCAAAGAGTTTATTGGCAGCGAAATTCTCTTTCTCGCAGCATATACTGGCAGAAAATACAATTTACTTGGTTTCATTGATTCCAATTGGTGCAGAGATAAAGTTGATTGTAAGTCTATAGCCGGAAACATCTTTATGTTCGGAGGAACACAAATCTCATGGTGTTATAAGAAGGAACCAGTGGTTTCACTCTCGTCTTGTAAGACCGAGTATATTGTCGCTTTGTTATGCGAGTGTCAAGCCGTTTGACTAATGAATCTATTCAAAGAGTTGGGCAACAATGAGGGTGAGGTTGTCACACTCTTGGTTAATAATGTTTCAACCATTAATCTTTCTAAAAATTCTATAGCACATGGGAGGAGCAAACATATTGAGATGAGATTTTACTAGTTGAGGGAGCTAGTGAGTAAAGGCAAGTAAAAATTGTGATATTATCAAAGTGAAGAACAAGTTACTGATTTATTGACTATGCGAGTCATAAATGATGTGTTCAAGAGGTTGAAGATGAACTTGGGCATGGAGGACTTGGAAGACTTGGAGCACTTGAATTAAGAGGATGTGTTAATTGAAAATTGTAATTTAAGTCACTATTAACCGGTTACGCAATATATGGTAACCAGTTACGGCCCCGAAAAAGCACTTATGAGAATAGCTTATTGGTGTCGCGCTGAAGCGGTAACTGGTTACGCCAAATGTGACAACCGGTTACCAATCCGAGTTTTGGTTTTTTCAGTTGTTTTAGTTGATGTTTTTGGATCCTAATTGTTGTCGATTACTTATATAAATACCCTTTATGATATTATATTGTTTCTTAATTAATGATAATTTCTCTTCTCACCCCTAATTACTCTCTCTCACTCTAATTCTTTATTTTCCCACTTTATCTTCTTCACAAACACAAAAACTCCATTAACTCAATTGTATGTTCTAACCCATGCTTCACCATCCATTACCAAGTTGCACATGAAAAATAAACTTAGTTACACTCAGTCATCATCATGCATCAACAGAAGAACAAATTCAATTACAAACCATCACATACATGGCATATATATGTTAGAAATTTAGGGTGTGATAATTCTGGATAACTTCGATGAATCGTGTTCGTACACTTTCCGAACAAAGTATTTCGACCCTGTTCTTGTCTGGGTTCACGAAATCTTTGTGGGGATAATTCTCGAAGAAATTCTGTTTCCGACAAAAGAAACGAATTGTAATTATAGAGAGAAGGATGCGTTTTTCCTGTATCCGAGACCGAGACCGAACGACTCCTTATATAGGAGAACAGTAATTGAAAACGAAGAGACACATTTGTTCGAAACGAATATGTCCGTTGGGGAACAGTTATGTCCGTTGGGGAACAGTTATGTCCGTTGGGGAAAGGATTCAAAAAATTTGCACGGGGCGCTGCCCCGCACCCCGCCAGGGGCTTCGCCCCTTGGAACCCCGTTTCAATTATTCGTATTCAATTATGCATTGGCTCGACGAGCGTGCACTCCGCACTTCCCTAACTCGTCTCCGAACTTAACGCATAATTGTATCGGCCTTTAGAAATCACATTACTACTAAAATACATTGGTGATACAAAATCGCCAACAATATACCCACTACCAAGCATACCATACATGATCAAACTTGGGACCACTCCAACACACGGTTTTGCAAGTTCTCATTCAAATTTAAAACCAAAATTCTTAACTAACACAAATTCACAACTCAGCAATTTCAAATCAAATTTCAGTTTCAAACCAATTCACATTTCACAAATCATTCTAAACGAACACAAAAATAATCAATCCTAACCATTGATTCCTAATTTTCTCTCATACGGATCACTGAAGAACAAATCCAAACCTTTGATCATTGAATTTTTTCACACGGATTACTATCTCAATCTCACTCTCTCAATTCTGGAAGCATGTCTGCAGGTGGTTAGACATACCGGTGTTGGTTGGATCAGACACTATTGAAGGAAATCTAAAACGGCTCTGCACACTACTCAAATGTAGGATAAAAAGGGATTACAATGTATTTTCTAATTAGCTTGTATGTTGGACAATTTGGCTCTGTAGAAACATTATTCAGTTTAAGGAAGGGATTAAGCTAATGAAGTACTAGAATTGACAAAAGTAGTGCCATGAGAATGGTCTACAACCAAATATAATGGGCATTTAGTTTTTGAATAGACTTATTGGTATTCTAATCTGATTACTAACCCTTGGGAAGCGTTCAAATGTAAGGTGGGACATTCCAATGTAATATAAGGATAATAGGATTCCATTTCTTATAAAGAAAATGCAATTTTATTTTATTTTGTAAAGTACTTTCCAAATGATCTTGTCGACTTCAATTCAAGCTATCCTTATATATTAGAGAAACACTCAACAACATACTTATAGATCAACTTTCATTCACAACTTTTATGTATAGCATTTTTCAAATGATTATCATTTGAGGCTGCCAAATGCAGGTAAATTTAATATGCCGATAAAGTACAACTTGGTGGATACACAACAATACAAAATATAATTTAAAAAAGAGGTAACCATCAATGTTTGTCGGTTCTTATGAATTGTTGAATAATTCCATCAAGATAATAACGGGTCAATTTTAAAATCCTTGGTCACCACCATTCTGCCCGACAAATATTAAAACCTTAAGTCATGATACCTGCCCCATTGCCAAGATTCCTCTAACTTAAGGCGTGTTTGGAATAACACTATTAA